TCCAAATATGATCACATCTGGTGCCGAGGCTTCAAAACGGCAGTCCAGAAACCAACAAGTGACATCACGATGACTATGTCCACTTCTTTTAAACAGTGGATCACAGTTTCATTAAGCGTCTCTTCAGCAATCGAGAAAAACTATAGTGCACAACGGCAGTCTGTTCAAATTCACACATTACACAAGTACATAGTGTAACGTTACGCAGAAGGTTTCCATTAAATGGAAAGCGGAGTGCTATTTGCTATTCACACCTTTCTGGTAAAAACTCAAAGCTAAGGAGGGATTTGTCGCAGATATTGATCAGCGTGTAGCCAGCAGTTGAATGTGATTACGGCCCCACCCCCTCACGCAGACTCTGTGTGGAGTGATTCCAGCTCTCAGTGTGTGAACACGGCAGCCGGACCCGAGCACAGACTCCGAGACCGAAGGAGGCCAGTCTGACCACTGGGATATAGTACGAAGGTGGTTTTCTTGCTGGTTTGGCTTTTGTCGCCCTGGGGCTGAGTCAGCTGATGAGGCTGTGTTCAGTCCTGTTCATGTCGTGTTCACTGGGGGGCTGCTGAGCGCAATTTCGATTCCCGCTCGCCAGGCGCCGCTAACCGTAATCATTTCCCTTTTTCTGGTACTTGGATTATGTTACTGATTACATTTTTAAAGCAACCCTCCCAACCCTGCTTACAGCTTTGATAACTAGTTTCTTTTTAGGTTATAATTTTTTTATTCCTTTCCTGTCCAGTGAAAACCATGTATCTCCAAAGGTGGTAATTTTGAATTTGAATTTATAAAAAATTGAAGGATGAAGTGCAGGGTTAGTAAAAACTTATCATACTTGTTAATCTAAATAAACGATTAAAACCGACCTTAAATCAGCTGGAAACGGGGTGTTTTTTAAGCTCATGAAAAGTTGACTTTAGAGATACGTTTTTCTCACTGGACAACAATGCTACAAACACATGATCTTATAGAATAAATCAAGATGAATAAGTGATCTATCTATCTATCTATCTATCCACTGACAGGAAACATTTTACAACACTATGAGTACTTTTACTTTGGTATTTTTGAGTACATTTTGCTGATGATACTGGAGTATCAGAGTGACTAAGTGATATTACTTGTACCTGAATGATAGTGTCTGAAGACAGTTTATTTTTACACATGAGGAAGCCCTGCAACAAAACAGGACATCAAAAATTAAATATATTTCTTTAACTTGCTCTTCACGGAAAGTCAAAAGATTTAAAGGATCTGAAGAGAAATCAGAGTGATCTACTTTCAGCCAGCGTGACAGGACGATCATTTCCACGGAGTTATGAACCTCACCACTGGTGTAAAGTTGATGCCACTAAATAAAACACACAACAGGATTATGTCGTGGGCATGTTGCGGTTCTGATGGATATAAAGGTCGCACATGTTAACTTTGATTCTGTGAGATGCAACCTTTATCCTGTGTGTTCACGTTTGTGCAACGCAAGGCATGCTGGGTTTACGTTTTCGCTTCCGGGATACGTATCTGATGTTTGAACTTTACTCCTGGGTATTTTCGTGAATTTAAAAATAATGCATGAAATGAATGCATGACGCCAGTATCAACACTTCCAGCTGTGTGAGGACTCTTAAACAAATCTTAAATTCATTTCATTTCACTCCGGCATTTCTTTTTGTTTTAAGGATTTTTTCTTTGGTGTTTTTGATCTCAGGAGGGATCAGAAAGGACAATATTTCATAACAAATCTTTTATTCTTACTTGCTAAATACCATATCCAAAAATGTACATTTACTGGTTCTAAACCAACTTCATCTGATCATCACTACAAGGTAAGGTTTTAATTCATGCCTTTCACCACAGCACCAGCTTTACAGAAAATACTCTTGATTATATTTAATGTTTGACTTACTTTTCAGTGATAAATGTAGAAATAAGACTTTTTCTCCCACATATTTTTATATTACAAAAGTGTTAACTCCTGGCAACAGTGAATTCATTTGTCTAATGTCTTTACACAGATGGCATCAGTTCTTCATTTCATTGGGCTCCTCTGTTTGACCAGTGGGCTGTAGATTGGAGCAAATGTAAGTAGAGTTTTTACATTTGTTTAATTATTACAGCTATATTAAACCTATATATATATATATACACACACAGGTGAAACTCGAAAAATTTGCATATTGTGCTAAAGTTAATTTATTTCAGTAATTCAACTTAAAAGGTGAAACTAATATATTATACAGACTCATTACATGCAAAGTGAGATATTTCAAGCCTTTATTTGATATAATTTTGATGATTACTGCATACAGCTTATGAAAACCCCAAATTCAAAATCTCAGTAAATTTTAATATTGTGAAAAGGTTCAGTATTGTAAGTGTCCCACTCTAATCAGCTAATTAATCCAAAACAGTTCCTGAGCCTTTAATTGGTCTCTCAGTCTGGTTCAGTGGAATTCACAATCATGGGGAAGACTGCTGACCTGACAGTTGTGCAGAAAACCATCTTTGACACCCTCCACAAGGAGGGAAAGCCTCAAAAGGTAACTGCAAAAGAAGTTGGATGTTCTCAAAGTGCTGTATCATTAATAGAATTAATAGAAAGTTAAGTGGAAGGGAAAAGTGTAGAAGAAAAAGGTGCACAAGCAGCAGGGATGACCGTAGCCTGGAGAGGATTGTCAGGTAAAGGCCATTCAAGTATGTGGGGAAGCTTCAGAAGGACTGAGGCTGGAGTTACTGCATCAAGAGCCACCACACACAGGCGGGTCCTGAACATGGGCTTAAAATGTCGTATTCCTCTTGTCAAGCCGCTCCTGAACAACAAACAGCGTCAGAAGCGTCTTACCTGGGCTAAAGGAAAAAAAGAACTCTTCTGTTTCTCAGTGGTCCAAAGTCCTCTTTTCTGATGAGAGCAAATTTTGCATCTCATTTGGAAACCAAGGTCCCAGAGTCTGGAGGAAGAACGGAGAGGCACACAATCCAAGATGCTTGAAGTCCAGTGTGAAGTTTCCACAGTCTGTGTTGGTTTGGGGAGCCATGTCATCTGCTGGTGTTGGTCCACTGTGCTTTATTAAGTCCAGAGTCAGCGCAGCCGTCTACCAGGACATTTTAGAGCACTTCATGCTTCCTTCAGCAGACGAGCTTTAAGGAGATGCTGACTTCATTTTCCAGCAGGACTTGGCACCTGCCCACACTGCCAAAAGTACCAAAACCTGGTACAATGACCATGGGATTACTGTGCTTGATTGGCCAGCAAAATCACCTGACCTGAACCCTATAGAGAATCTATGGGGCATTGCCAAGAGAAAGATGAAAGACATGAGACCGAACAATGCAGAAGAGCTGAAGGCCGCTATTGAAGCATTCTGGTCTTCCATAACACCTCAGCAGTGCCACAGGCTGATAGCGTCCATGCCACGCTGCACTGAGGCAGTAATTCATGCAAAAGGGGCCCAAACCAAGTACTGAGTACATCTGCATGATTATACTTTTCAGAGGGCTGACATTTCTGTATTCAAAATCCTTTTTTTATTGATTTCATGTAATATTCTAATTTTCTGAGATTTTGAATTTGGGGTTTTCATAAGCTGTACGCAATAATCATCGAAATTATATCAAATAAAGGCTTGAAATATCTCACTTTGCATGGAATGAGTCTGTATAATATATTAGTTTCACCTTTTAAGTTGAATTACTGAAATAAATGAACTTTTGCACAATATGCTTCGAGTGTCACGTGTGTGTGTATGTATATGTATATATAAAGTATGGCACTCATATGATAATGAATTTATCTAGGTGTATGTCGTCATCCAAAATCCTATATGCGGCACAGCAAAGTGTCATGAATCAGCTATAAGACTGACACTTTAGATTTAGTCCTACACTTCACTTAAATTAGTACTGAGATCAGTTCTTAGCAGTAATTCTGAGAAGCTTGATAAATACGGGCCCAGAACAGAAAATTTATTCCGAACAAAGTGTTTCAGAGTTGTGTACAGCAGTACTTTATGATGCCACGAAATGGTGTAACTTGTTAAATGCACACACGTGCCTTAAAGGGGTGAAGCAGGTCATCACTATCTGCTATTATCACCTGCTGCCCCCTAGCTATATAAACTGGTGATGGTCCAGGATGGGTACATGGTGGCCATAAAGGGATGGACATGGTCAGAAACAATGCTCAGGTAGGCCGTGGCATTTAAACGATGCCCAATTGGCACTAAGGGGCCTAAAGTGTGCCAAGAAAACATCCCCCACACCATTACACCACCACCAGCAGCCTGCACAGTTCAGGAGATTGTCTTGACCAGGACCACACCCCTAAATGCATTGAAGCAACTGCCATGTGATTGGTTGATTAGATAATTGCATTAATGAGAAATAGAACAGGTGTTCTTAATAATCCTTTAGGTGAGTGTATGTACAGTAGTCAGTTGTGTTGTTTTGCACTTAATTTTTTTCGTACTGTGCAGACTTATTATCTTGATGTATAATACTGTAAAATAAATCTTTAATCTTAAGGCAGGGCCCCCGACTAAACTGCTTTACTAAAATTTACCACAAAACAGCTGACATGATCAGCTGTACTTGTGTGAAGTTATTCATATAACAATAAGGAAGTTTATTTTTAAGGCTGCATTATGTCATGTTATCTTGGCGAGGTCTCATAACTACACATGACAAATGTTAGGGATAATCTTTGTTTTTTGTTATGTGTTTCTAAAAAGAAGAACATTTTAAAATCCTGAAATATCAAAATCTGTATCAGTCTTAAAAATCGGTCGTGCTCTAGTGGGCAGTGCGTCTTTTGGTCGGGCTTGCTTGCCAGCCACTTCCAGTGCTGGGATTTTGTGCCTGACAAAAGTGAGAATGACACTATAACTATTTATAACATTTGACAAATGTAATTTACCTCGTAATAAAGCTTTCTTATTTCCTATTGCCAGTTAACATCTTGATCACATCAACCAAATAGAGTTCACACAATAGTGGGGGACAGAATTGTAAAAACATTTTGATTTTATTACATGTAACGTTCAGGAAACGGCCTCTGCTAACTTGACATTAGCCCTTTAGAAAGTATTGCTTCAGTTTGTCTGTTGGTGGCACAACAGCACAACTTAACCCATTTCAGAAATGTTTTCAATTTACACAAGTGGACACCACTCATCTGGTCCAAAAAATCCTGCGTTGGGTTTCGGGGGCACAGCTTTACTACTTTTGTCACAACTGCAGCTTTGCTACACTGTATAACTTTTGGATGTCTAATGTATAATTATCTTTTCTAGTGAAAGACTCATTTCTAATTTCCATTTAAATAAATAAAAACATTCACCAAACCATAATTGTATTAAGATAACTTTATAAAGAATTCAAAATTAACAAAGCGTTTGTAGTAAAGTACCTTTGGAGGCAACAGTGAAACATGTTTGACAAAGTGAGAGAGATGTCAACACACACTTATCAAAGCTTTGGTAACTCACTGACCACACCCTCAGAGAGTTATGTGGCATTTGATGGCTACTTTGGATTTCACTTTGATCATTTGTAATTTCATTCCTCAAACAGAAACACTAAAAAATGACATTTAATTGAAGTACAAACTCTACAAACAAATTATGTAAAGTACCATACATTGCTAAATTAACCTAGAGCATCTGCTCAAAATGCTTTCCAGAAGAGATGTTTTCAGACAGGACACTGACTCCGACAGGCTGATTTCCTCAGACAGGTCATTCCAGATCTCGTCTCGAATACCGTCTTCCTGCAGTAAAGACTCCATCTCTCGCAAACTTCACCAGCAGCAACAACAGCACTGAACATACAGAACACAGAGATACAGAGAGAAGTCGCCATGATCATTACTGGACTCATTAAAAAAAATAATAAATACTATAAACTTATTGTTAAGACCAAAAACAACAACGAATTAACGTCTAATTAACAAGTCTAATTAACACGTATTGTGTGTTGTATCATTTCGTCTTCCTCTTTGCTAAAAGCTGAAATCTAAAAACTCTTAAAACATTAGTGAGCAACACTGTTGTACTGGGTGACAAGTTCCTTCATCACCATGAACACAGTGCCCTACAGACCACGTTGACAGCACTTTAATTGCCTCCAATTTCTCATTGGGTCCTCCTGAACCATGGAGGTATCTTACATGGATTCCAACCATTGTTGTGACGACTTCTTATCTTCCAAGCTATAATTTTACATCTCTCGTTCCTGGAATTATGATGGGCATCTTTTCATTATGAATTAAAATCAAACATCAGACTTACTGATCAGCAACACGATGCATTCCAGTATTCTCAGGATTGTCGGCACATCGATGTGTCCTGCCACCCTGCCTTGGCAGGACACCTCTTCCCCAGTGCAGTCACACACTGTGGCCTGGACGGTGCTGTCCTGGTCCAGGCCCATATTATCTGAAACCCTCAGAACCACAGTGTACTCTCCACTGGCCAGCTCGGTGGCTAAAGTCAGATTGATATATTCTGCAACAAAGAGAAAAAACCCTTCATTGTTTGAGTTTGTCATTGTGTCTAATTTCAACAATATTCTCATGGAGAAGCTGTTTGGAGAAAAACTAATTGTAATTTGCATCATTATTACGTCCTATTATTAATTTCCATTAATGTCTATGCCATTGCCAACTTTGCTGTTTTGCTTTTCTGTGTGGATGTTAAATTGGGCTGCTTCTCCTATCCCCCCATTTAAAGCACAAAATAACATACTTGACTCGTTCATCCCAGCAGTCCAGATGTTCTCCGAGAGGCCCTGTAAAGAGACGCTGTATGGAGCACCAAAGCCCGGTCCGTCTTTATCCGTTACTGACAGCAGCTGAGGAGCCGAGTCCTTGTTACACACCTGAGAAAACAACGTCTGATTTCAGATTTTGTTTATGCTCTTCACATTACTGCACACCGTGACCTTTACTTTTACCTCTGAAGTCAGCACTAATTTTTTATTTCTTAACTTTGTCTTGAATAACAGTATATTTTAAATCCAAAAATCACATTATACAAGTGACATGTCAATTTTAAATTTTATTTGCATAAAATTTGCTCAAAAACATGACGACTGAAGTGTCTGAGGCACCTTGATTCCACGTTCCTCAATGAAGGGTGCATTGTCATTGACATCGTCAAGGTGGATCACTAGAGTACCAGTTCCTGTGGCTGGGACTTCATCTGGTGAGATAACAGACATACACACACAGCAAGATAAATCCATATTCAGATAGCTTTTTTTGGTCCTAAAGCAGTGATGAAAACCAGATAAGCGTGTACAAGTGTAAGTCTTGTCTCCCACCTACCATCGTCATATGCACCAATGAGCGCTGTGTATTTGTCATCCTTGACAAAGTGGGACTCTCTGTCCATGGTGCTTTTCACAGTAATCAGACCCGTATCTTTGGCCACCTTCAGCCAGCCTGCAGGGTCTCTAATCATTCTGTACCTGGACATCAGCAAGATAATCACAAAAATGTAAATGCTATGCAAGAGAGCTGATAATATCAGTCAAATTAGGAACATTTTATGCCACTTAATATAATAGCATAATAACGCAAGTAAATCCTTTCAAAGAGCAACTTTTTTTATTAATGTCAAAACAACTGAAATATCCTACATCCAATAAATAAAATTAAACCAAAAGGCCAAAAAAAACTCAAAAAAACAAAAACATCACACTACACTTTTGTGCAGCTTCAAATGCCACTGGAAGAGTTTCAGAAGCAGAGAGTTTTGCCCGCCCAACATTTTTGACTTAAGAATTTGTCCTTTTTATGATTGAATTTCACTGATAGATTTTGATGATTTGGTAATTTGTCCTTGATTTTTGTGCTTCTACCATGGTTAAGAAGGTTATGTAGTTAAATAGTTCATTTTTCTGTTATGTCTTTTGTAAAGTAAGAGGTTTAAAAAAGGTACATTTATCATCATCATCATCATCATTGAATCTTTCAACCGGATGTATAGAAGTTAGCCAGGATACTTCCTCTGAATGTTTTATTTCTTTGAACTCAAAGTTTGCATTAGTCAACATAAACAGGGGAAAAAAGACACATAAGTTGTTCAAACTGAAAGAAAACACACAAACTTCTCTTACCAGAACTGCTGCCCCATGTGAAAGTGAATGAGTGAGTGAAAGGCAGTGTAGTCCTTAAATAAAGTGTGAACAGGTGAACTCAGTCAGGTCAATGAAAGGTGAAAGCAAGAGCCAATCAGTGATGAGAAAAGAAAGGAAAGGAAGTGAGGTAGGTGAAAGGAAATGAATAAAAATAGAAATAAATTGGGGATCTTTACTACATCTGTTATGCCCCTTTTCCACCGCATGGTACCAGCTCGACTCGCCTCGACTCTAATCGCCTTTTATTTTTTTATTTTATTGTTGATATACGATCAGGACTCTGTCCAAGGTGTTTTATTTTGAAAATTGACCGGATTCACTGTGCTCTTCCTGTGTCTAACTTCCTGCCCGATTGGTCTGCTCTGTGCTGCTCCGTCAAAAATAGATTCGCCACACTTTCTCCAGAGCGTATCCAGGAACTGCTTTTAGGCCGAAGCTAGTCTGGTGAATCACAAGCATTCTCTAGCATTTATTTCACAAATTAAAACACCCAGTAACACATTTCACTTGTTGCTGTCCGCTCTGTGTGTGGAGGAGTGGGAAATATCGAGGTCGGCAAAAATGATCTTGCTCATGTCCATATATCGTATAAGTCAATAATGTAAATATCATGAAAAGGCTACCTGTGATTAAAAAACTTCCGCCCTCAGTTGGTGATTTTGTTTTCCACTGACCGCTGTTACGTCATTTTGTTCTCAATGAATTACACAATGAACAGAAAAGATTTTGAGCTTCAAGATCTGATGTCTGATTCACGTGTTCCCTTATTTTTTCTGAGCAGTGTAGTAAGATGGTACATCAGGGTTTGATCTTACATGACTTTCTGTCTGCGTGCAGTGTCTGGGTCAGAAGCGGCGTACTGCACCACCTCACTGTCGACTGCAAGGTCCTCCGGTTTTGACACATGCTTCTCTGTTGGGTCAAAGACTGGAGCCTCATTGACGTCCAGCACATTCACCAGCACTGTGGCGGTGGCGGTGGGCAGAGGGACAGCAAAAGGAACCTCATTCTCCACCGCAACCAACAGAACGTGCCTGCTGATCTTCTCAAAGTCAAGACCCTGGTTGGATGGAAACAAAGCACAGCACTAAAACCTAAATTCATTGTAAACCTTTGTTTACAACTTTGATTATTTACATAACAGCGAATGCTATTTAAGAAACTGGTCTCAGAAAGTAATCTGTAAATGAAACGATTTATTGACAGATATCTCATAACTTCAATATTGTGGTTTATTTGAGAATTCCTGGTTTACTTCCTACCTTGGTGATAGAAATGATTCCCTCAGTTTCGTTTTGTCCCGTTGTCACAGTGAAAAGTCCTTCAGGATCACCACTGACAATTGTGAACTTGCCGCTCCAAGCTGGTGTATGCGGTTCGTCAAGATCGGTTACTGACATCACAATGACCTGAGCCTCTGCTTTATTTTCCTCAATTGTTGCTGTATACTGGGAGAATGCAAAGGATGTGTTAAGGTGTGGGAGTGAAATATGGAGAAAACAAAGACTGGAAAAAGGCTGTTGCCTGATAACTAATGACACTTCAAACCACAGCCCTGTGGACACTTCAGCATGGTGAGAACTCTGCAGCTTGACAAATCTGCTGTGCCTAGTTAGGGTCGCTAAGCTGTGATTTAACAATTGCTCTTTGGGGGAGGAGTTTAGCAAAAAATACATTTCCAGCTACAATGTTGTACTTACGGAGGACTGAGTGAAGGCTGGAGCATTGTCATTGATATCTGTGACAGTAAGGATTACTTTTGCTTCTCCAGTTTTTCCTTCTCCCTGCATGTCTGCTGCTTGTACCACCAGTGTGTACTCTGGGTTTCTCTGTTAGAAGAGACATGAATTAACTCACCAGCTAGAAGGCTTAAACATTTTGCTTTCATTTTACAGACTCATTTGGAACTTTTCATAGGATTTAGGTGTGTTCAATGTTACTTGAAATCCATAGCAAGACATAGCCTTCAAACTGAGGATAAACCCCAAATCTATGCCACCCTGATGTGACTGAAAGAAAGTAGAGTTGGTTCATTCACGAACATTTTGTTCAAAAGAACACAACAAATTGAATCACTTCCTGTGTCGCTCAAGCCCGACTCTCTATGGCTCTTTTATGTCTTCAAGTCTGGAAGTAGCACCAAATGATTTATTTAATAATTAGGTATTGCAAAAATATGCAGTGTGTGCTGTACATAATAAGGAAAGACTTTGTTATAGCAGCCTTTATGCTACCTTTATCCAACTAAATTCTCAGCTGCCTGGTTTGTCCTTAACAAACGACCGGCTGAGTTCACAAGTTAGTGAGTTGAAAGTTCAGCTGTGTTTCAGTTCAGTGAGTAAAACTTCGCAAAGCTCCAGTAAAGCACTGAACAATTTGCCCATCACTAATAAAAAGGTAGTACTTAACTCTTTATTTAATTTGATGCATGTGACCAAATACCAAAATTAACAACCTTTATATAAGCCTTGGCTGTACTTTGTACTACAGTACAGATACACAAGTTCCCACATGTATCACTGTTAGCGTGGTGTGACGTTGCTTGATGACACCTTCTCGAGTCCTGTTGTTTTCCTTCAGAGAGCAGATAGAATTGTGTTTTCGAGGTGGTTACCAACAGTGAGAAGTAAGTGGAAAATAATATAAATGATATTTAATCTTCTCAGCTTTCCGAATTCATAATGTGTACTTTCACAGATCCACTGGATTATCAGGTTCTCAAACAGCAATTACAGTAATGTTCTCTTTGGTAATGCAAAACAGAAGAAACTAGTGAGCTGTGCTGACACCAGACCATCTGCAAAGTACTCTGGGGGGAATACTGTGACAATAGCGAATCAGAAGTGAAAAGACTTGAAAGACATGAAAAGGAATAACGATTACTACATGTACGGACGCATTTAATGTATGATGCATTTTCATGTGCGTATATCTATGGGTATATGCTCATGTATAGCCTACATTAAGGTAACATCTACATATTTAATTTATTACAGCCAAGAAATGCAGAAAGTTAAGTGGGTCAGAATACAACAAATATAACAAAAATCAAGAAATATTTCAGTTAATGCTATGCCTTTGCACCAACACCTGCCAACTAATGCCTCTTGTTAGAAGAGAGCACAATCTAAAGCAAAATCTAAATCTAATAATTTTTCTTTCTTATTATTTGGGGGGACAGGACCATTTTAGGGTAGCTTCAGCCCCCCCTAAAATATGCCTAACAACGTCCATGCTGGTTGGTACAATTTCTTCTGAATGGGAATTTATTATAGTTTGTTTTCCACATAGTAGTTTCCTGAATCTGTGATCTGCAACCCAACAGAATGTGAAGTACTAACAGTTCTGACATTATGTCAAAGATGTCCATCTATTGTGTTGTTGATATCTGCTTCAGTTAGCATGCTAACCAGCTTGCCCGACCTGTATTGTAACACTTGTATCTCGAGAAACAATCGTGAGGTTGGCTATTTAGAGAAATGTATCTTTAGTGAAACTGACAACACAAACCGTACTGAAAAACATTCAATATGGTGTTAATATGTGGTTCTGAAGTGGGTGTTTTTTTGCTACTAAGGTCTTGCTAAAAATAAGCTAAGCAAGCTATAACTTAAACTAAAGATGGACACTACACGTGAAGATTAAAAGATAGCAGTGTTATTTTAACTGGCTCTCAGAGTTTCAGCCGTTGGTCGAATGTTTTGTATTCTTGTCCTGCTGTTAGTTAGTAGTTGGTTTTTTATAACTGATAAGATTGTATTAGCAGTAGATTGACTGAAAAAATGTCAATTTAGCATTGTAACCACCTTACAAGTTTGGAAAGTTTGCAATACTTCTGTCATTTTGACACCAAACGCTGGGGACGCACACACTTCAGCACATTGTGAGCATGTCTCTTCATAGTTATTTTGTTGAAGAGTGAAAAATATATATGTTTGCGCAAGGGGAGACTGAACCCACAACCCTCCAATCAAAAGACGTACCTCACTGACCAAGCTAACCAGACACTCAAATTTATTTAATGACCACTGACCTACAGTATTGATAACACTGAAACAACATGACAATGGCGGAGATCAGGGGCGGACTAGCCATTTGGAACTTTGCAAACAATCCTGAACAGCAGTTCCATTTTAGGCCAAACCGGTCGGTGTTCAAGAGTTTTTATTTTTCAGTTTCTTATATTCAACTTTAAAAGATCCATGACCGCATTGGCCGGCTGGTCAGCTGCAGTGAACGCTGCCTGTGTGTCTATCAGACTGGGCCAAACCAATACTTTCAATGTAGAGGAGGGATACAGGCTCAACGGCGGTGATCAAAGGAGTTTACTTTCCATCAGGGACACGCTTTTTAGTTGTTTATCTCCCTCCATATTCTCCATTCGTCAATCCTATCCAAGCCATGTTTACTGCATCATTTACAGACCTGTTGGCTCTGTAGGCGAACTGCAGGGGGGTCCAGGAGTGGGTCTGTAATGGATTTTAGGTGGGACAACACAATACCACAGAGGTCAGGGCGACGGGTCTGTAGTCCTTGGTTTCTTGGGGACAGGGATGATGATTGAGGCTTTGAAGCAGCCTGGCACATGGTAAGTACCAGGCTGACAACTGATCAGCACAGTGCTTCAGGGTACATGGAGAGACACAGTCCGGCCCAGCTGCTTTGCAGGGTTTCTGCCTCCTGAAAAGACTGTGGACTTCCCTCTCTGTGATGGAGAGAGGAGGGGAGGGGGTGGAGCTGGCCAGCTCCTGTGTAGGGTCTACGTGCGTACCTACGCTGTAGGCTACGCATGTAGCCATGCATTTATACTTGTGCGTAGGTGTGTCCGTCATTCTGCAATTACACCCCCAAACGCTAGTCGGCAGTAGCGCTACAGCGTCCACTGTGTTGACTTTTGCCGGCCGAGCAGGCTAACTTCCAGTTAATGGGGGTAAAATTGTATATGTGCGGCTGGTGTAGCCTTTTCAAATGTTACTGACTGAATGGATCACATTCTGATAGCGAAACGAGTAATTTCGCTCGGGTTGCGACGGTCAAATATATTGATTCACTGTGTTACAGCCGCCATTTTGGCCGCAAGGAAATGTTACTTCAAAGCGCGGGGTACTTTGGTCGGCTCAGAGGCTGTGCGAGGCTACCCAGCCGACCAATCACAGAGCCTACAGTCCGCATCGACTCGACCTGTAGTTACATTTTGGAGGAGGTGCACATCAGGCAACGGCATAGCCTCTGCGTAGCCCAGTAGCCTACGCCGTGGATTTGACGCAGAAGTACAAATTGCACTTGAGGTTGAAGCTGAGCGGAGGAGTCACAGGGGATGGTGTCCGATTGACTCTCAAAGCGGCAGTAGAACTGGTTAAGCTCATTTGACAGGTGAGAATCGTTTATGGAGTGGGGTACTTTGGGTTTATAGTTTGTGATCTGTATGAACCCCCTCCAGACAGAAGTGGCGTCGTTTGCAGAGAACCGGTTCTTTAGTCTCTCTGCGTACATTAGTTTAGCTTCTCGCACCTCCTTGCTAAACCTGTACTTTAACGCCCTGTCACCACTCCTAAATGCCTCTTCATTTTCCAACCTTAGCTGTCTGAGTTTAGCTGTGAACCAGGGTTTGTCATTGTTATAACTCATCCTGGTCCATGTTGGAATGCAGCTGTCCTCACAGAAGCTGATGTAGGACGTCACAGCCTCTGTAAACTCATCCAGATTGTTGGTAGCAGTCCTGAAAACATCCCAGTCAGTGCAGTCCAAACACGCCTGAAGACCCTCTACAGTTTCACTGGTCCACTTCCTTGATGTCCTCACTACAGGTTTACAGAGCTGTAATTTTTGCTTGTATGGAGGAATTGGGTAGATCATGACGTGATCAGAGTGTCCCACTGGAGTGTGTGTGTGATGGCGTGATAGGCACTGCTAACTGTGGTGTAGCAATAATCCAAAGCGTTCCCCTCTCTGGTTGGATACTTTATAAACTGTCTGTATTTGAGGAGTTCTTGGCTGAGATTTCCCTTGTTAAAGTCACTGAGAACAATAACAAGGGTCCACACACAGTATCCGGTCGGACAGCATGCGCAGTGCATCCTGAACGTTGGCGTGTGGCGGAATGTAAACACCGACCAGAGTGAATGGAGAAAACTCACGGGGGGAGTAAAATGGTTTACAGTTAATGATAAAATATTCCAGATTAGGAGAACAGTGCTGCTGAATCAGTGTAACGTCGCTACACCAGCCATTGTTAATATAAAAACAAACACCTCCACCTTTTGTTTTGCCGGAGAGTTCTGTGTTGCAGTCCGCTGTGTACAGTTGGAAGCCTGCCAGCTGCAGCGTTGAGTCCGGTATCAGTTCACACAGCCACGTCTCCGTGAAGCACAGAACAGAAGATGAATAAAAGTCTCTGTTTTTCCCCACCAGAAGCTGAAGTTCGTCCAGTTTGTTGCACAGTGAACGCCCGTTGGAGAGAAATATTGCCCTTCACCAAAATGTCCAATAATTCCACGGATGGCGCGAGAAAAGTGGGAATTAAATCCACTGGACTTGTTTCCCTGATGTTCATGAGCTCCTCCCTGGTGAAAGAGCACCGGGAATCACAGCCAAAAACTGAATTAACACACAAAAACAAAACAAAACAAAGTGCACCTAACACCGAGGCAGCTATACTCACCGCCATCTTGGAAAGTAACTGCGAACTTTGTTCAGCCAATGGGTTTTAGTGTTTTAGCAATTGAGAAAAACTGTAAAATGAATAAGTAAGTTGACATAACTAAATGGGTTTATAATGTTTTATAGTGTATCCAAAGCAACTTACAATTGCTATGCATGTATTGAGGTATTGGTAGTTGTTTGTACGCCTCTTGAGGAACTATTGGTTATGTGTCTTGCTCAATGACACATTGGATATGTCCCATACCAAAAGCATGTATCTTATCCACAACACCATCGCCACCCCGGAGCGAACCGCACACCAGAGCTCACATGAAAGCTTTTACAACAACCTGAACCAAATCAAACTTTAGTCTGAAAAACAGATAATTCCAACATTTAGGTGTGAAAGCACGCTAAGACAGGTGATTTATATTTTAAAAGCCTTACCTCTCTGTCTAGCTCAGTGCTATCAACTATGATTGTTCCGGTGTTTGAGTTGATGGAAAACAGGTCAGGGGGAGTTGCTGGCTCCTGGCTTATAATCATGTAGCGGATGACTGCGTTATCAGTCCCTGGGTTGTCAAGATCTTCGGCCACAACAGTAATCACTTCAAAACCTTGAGAGAGAGAATTCAGAAGTCAAAATTAGGTACATGGTTTTCACAGTATTTAGAGCACTTTATTAAACCTGCAGTGCAAAACGTTTGTCTTCCCTTCTGACAGTGAGAGTATTTACACAACACTGTCGACACATGCTTAAAAACGTCCTGAGTTGCTACTGACACTACGTTGCTACGTCTTCAGCTTGGTATAAAACACATCATTATGGTTCACCTCAGACACCATTTTAAAACTCTTATATACTTCAAATGCAGAGAGATTTAGCTGGCCTGTGATAGGCTTAATCAGCATTGTGTAGCAAGGACTTGAAAGTAACAGACATTCCTTTATACATAAAAGTCCTGCACTCTAGCTTTAAAGAGGTCATTTACTAAATCAAGCTGGGGCGTGGTGACATACAGGGCCATGTGTATCCTAGTTTTTTTTTCCAACCTAACAAATCACCTGTTGATTACATGGTTGTGTATTTGTGTAAACTAGGGCATAAGGTCTGACTGACGCTGGAGGTAGGTGGGGGAAGTTATATTGTCTTAAATCTGATGTGAGCTACTTCAGGGAGCCAGTGGAGGTCATGGGAGAGGGGGTTCACATGGGAGAACTTTGATAGATTGAACACAAGGACATTCTGAGTTTTATAATTTAGAAAACAGAAGTATTTTTCCCCCTACGGAGGACTAAATCACCTCAAAAAATAAACAGTAGTGTCAAGCAATGACAACTAAGCAATGAAGCACTGTTGCAGACAAAAACCAAAAAGGTAGGTTGAGAAAACTAGATAAGATAAGATAAGAGTACTGATGTTGTGTCAAAAGTTATTTTTGATTTTATCATTTGACACACTATAGTTCTCTACACAGAATTCCCAAATTAGTGAATAAGGGACAATTTCTACAAAATGAACAAATTGAGAGGGCTTTGGCTTTATCAGCGTGCTTCATCTTCTTCCCTACTCCTCTGGACAGCATTGGCAGACCAATATAGTTTCACTGGGAAAGTTTGTTCAGCCTCTCAGCATTTACACTTTATTTCCAGGTAAAGCAACAGCGAACAGTAAACACCAGATGTCATTCTGTACCACGTTGCTCGCTATCGTTTCGATAGTCTGTGTTAACATTAACAACTTGCCTCCTCCACACGCAGCTCACCTGCTGCAGTCAAAATGGAATTGGGGGTGAAAACATTTAACATGTGAGTTGTGTTTTGGGCAACTTTTTAAAATTTCTGAGCACACAAAATATTTTAACAGAAATGTCCCATTGAGACATAGAGTCCTGTTTATCACAAAATAAAACAAACAATTTTTTGTTGAAATAAAATACAATGAGACAGCCTGAAGACGGCCAACCAAAATATCTGACATGTCAGAAATTCATCATGAATCAGCCAAGAAAATCAGCCACAAGGTGTTGGATTTTTACTTTATCTAAGTTTAGGAAAAAAACATTAGAAGCTCTGCCCTGCTTTTTTTCTCTTGTAAAAGTGAAAAACACAATTGAATCTTTTTCAGGCTGAAATGAGATCTACTGACAATACCTTTTGCTGAGGACTCAGCAACTTCTCCCAGGTAAGTGGTTTGAGTGAAAATAGGATTGTTGTCGTTCTGGTCGATTACATTCACTAAAATTTCCATAGGAGCCTCAACCAGTCCTGAACCATCTGCCACAGCACGCGCTTGAAACTGCACAGAGACAAACACATTTTTATTAAAATACTGCAAATGAAAGAATAATGTAGATGCTTTCATACATCACTAGAGCATGCACGCAGGTGACATGATGAACATTCCTGCCACTGGGTTCACACTGAATCACTAGTCGTGTTTCCATCATCGTTTATTTATGCCCATTGTGAAGTCGGCCTATCGCATTACAAAAGGTTGATGGAAATGGCAAAATACGAAATTTTATTAATTTCGCAGGTTTTTACATTTGCGTGAGCCTTTTTTATAAAAGAGTTCATGCGTTAAATGCAAAATGAATAGGCTACACCTTTGCTGAATTAGTTCTGATATAACAAACATTTCCCAGTGAGCACCAAGCCAAATTTCACCGTTGAATTGTGGTGGTTGAAACCTTGATGATTTTTGGTCTGAACGTCTTAAGACTTCCTAGTGAGCATTTTTTAGGTGAAAAAACATTTAAAAGACGTAAGAACACAATGTGTGTATAACTACTAATGCTCAAATGTATCAAAGTTTCAAAAGATGATTGATTACGCAGTTTCCCTAATATTATAGATTCTGTCATGAGGTCCTACCAGAGCGCCACAGACTCAAATTCACAGCGGAATGGCAGACCAGCGAAAAAAGCTGAGAGATGCAGAGGGGGCGGCTTTATCCCAAAAAATGTTTGATGCTGTGTATGTCTTGTGTATGTTGTCTTTATTTTATTTTCCCAGCAACAATTTTTCATTTTAATTGTATTTAAAGAACATTGTTCTTGTTTTGTTTAAATTGTGCATTAATAAATACTCATAGTAGTCATACATGGTGTTTTTTGTCTTTTGGAAACAGTTTAAGGGTCATGGTCACTGGTTAAAATATATATATGTATATATATATATATAAGTGTGTGTGCGTGTGTTTAATTTACCATTTAATAGACATTTGATGTCTATCTTCACCGTTTGTTATGACCCCGCTCATGGGGAAAGGGAAGCAACATGAACCAGAGTGTTTTTGGTAAAAGTGCAAGTTGTTTATTGTTGACAGGGTTTACAAACAGAACAGAAAAGGGCTGGTGGATGCTGCTTAAATCAAAGAACCAAATATAACTTAAAGAGGTCTCTCCAACTGAGAGATAGCCACTTGCTACTCTGAAATCAAACAAAACAAAACTCTGACTTGCCCAGTAAGAAACAAAATGAGCAGAACCCTCTAAGCCTTGTGTGTCTAACAAACTTAACTGCAGGTGTCTGGTCGATATCAGTAATCCCCCACTAAGGTACACAATTCACTGTAAAGGTAACACTCAGACACTAAGAACTAACACTGATCACTAGAACTAACGCTTCTACAGCAGTTAACACAATTACCACTATAAAGGACAATACGAACGGGGCCAGTCAGTCAAGGGGAAAATCACATCTGCCAAATTCACACAGGTAGGCAGCTATTTAAACAACTGATCTGGAAGGCGACCAATCAGACCACCAGCCGGAACCAGAAAGTAGGCGGGACTCGCGCCAGCCAATCCTCGGCAAGGGTTTGTACATCCTGCTCAACATAACACACAGCTGCACATCACAGACACATATTCACAGATAACTGCGGAGGCTGTAACACTGTTGAAAAGACATTAATTTTTGGTTCAAAAGTGAAAAATCTTTCCAGCGGTGACAATAGACGTCTTTTAACCGTTTTTCCAACAAAAAAATGCTCACCAGGTAAAGTCAACTTCTGACGAAACTACGCTTTATGCAGCCTGTTTTTTTCACTGCAAACCAGTTGATGGAAATGTAGCTTTTGTTTTTTTTTGCAACATTTCAAGTTTGCTTAAAACTCAGTTGACAATTACATGGAACCACAGCTACTTACATTCAGTGTCCGTGTATAGCAACTGCTTTCTGAAGGAGCCATGTAATACGAGAATACATTCTGGGTGAGATATGGTTTTAAAGATTAGCTGAAAAGTTGACAAAAGTTTCTGGACAAACACCTCTGATTGTTTCGATTACATTTGTTTGTAAACTTTTGAAACTCTTCCACGTTGTGATTCTTAATGGAGTCAGCAGAAACATAGAAAAGCCCTGTTGTAAAATGTTCTGTAATAAATACCACATTACTGGATTTTACCGTCACAGTTTTAATTGTTGACAGCTTGTTGATTACGATCTATGGTAGGTTCTGGGTTATATTCAGTTGAATCACTGTAAAGTACTCCTCTATACATGGCAATAGGATGGACAAATGAACATACATGATGTAGTGTACTCGTACATACAGATGTCTCAGTCAAGTTTTTTTGGCCCTGAGCCAAGTGCTCTAGTACTGGGTATCTGAGAGTCCAATCTAATACTTAATATTACTTAATACTTACTGAAATGTTGAATAAATATGTATTAGGTTAATATAATATGTCAGAATAAAATTAATTTTCACATAGACACAATCATTTTCACTCAAATATGGAGTGAAATATTCGGAGTGCAGACCCTCAGCTATCGTTAAGGAGAGCAGTGTTGACATACAGTAAAGAAAGGAATTTTAATCAGCTTTTTCTTTTTGCAAGTGAAAGTAAACCGACCGCTACCTCAGTGTACTTTACAATTTACTTTTACATTTATGTCAACATAAAATGGTGGATAACAGAATACAAAGTGTGTTCAAATGTTTCCCTTAACTCCCTGTTTGAACCTAAAAAGGTGACAAAGAGTGCATGTATAAAACCAACATCAGAGGATACTTACTATGTACTTGTCTTGTTTCTCTCTGTCCAGTGCTTGTGTGATATACAGATTGCCATTGTCTCTGTCCATGGTGAAAAGGCCAACAGGAGGTAAATCAGCTCCCGGACCAGAGATGCTGTAATAGATCTTCTTCACTTTATCCTCAGGAGAACGGATCTGAACAAAACACACCAGGTCTGAGTTATTCTCCTGTCACTGACAACATAGTTACAATACTAATAATAATTTCTGACATACAGAAACCAAGTGGCCTGGTTACAGCGTTCTACATCTTTAGTTCCTCTTACTTGAGATATTTTCAAGGGGTAGGGTCCTTTGTGATTCTCACTAACACTGATGTCAGGAACAACCCACTCTCTCTTCTTCCTCCTCAGTCCTTCACCAGACTTGGGGAAATGCAGAACAGGCACCAGTGTCTCAGGTGCACTCTGGAAGAACATGTACATTCATAGTCAGTTTAAATCTAAGCAAAGAAGAAAAAGAAGAAAAATGAGTTTTGTCTTCAACATTTTTACCATTTTTTCAAACCATTAGTTACTTATTTTCTTGAACAACACGGAGCTCTGCGGGACCAGAGAATGCACACAGATGATGAATTAAGAGCCTCCTGGCATCAATGAAATTGGTGCTAAAATGTTTCATATAGTAAACAATTCACCGAGTACTCCAGTAAGTTACATTACACGAAAAATGAAAAAAGTAATACTAAAAAAAATGCAGCCAGTCTTGCACATTTGTAAACAGCCAAGTTTGTAAACTGCACAAGATTTTTTTATTGTTTCAAGCCTTTAATAAACAACAATGTAGGACTAGCAAAGCATATTTTACACAGAATATATTGTTGTAGAAGAGTTTAATTTATCCTACAAATGGGGCTGGAAACTTCCTTCAGTAGTGTCTCTAATCCTACCTCTGAGTCCACTTCAGTCAGGTGGTGCTGGTGCAATACCCTGACAGAAAGAGTTATTTTGTGACCTTGCGAGTCCCAGGAGTGGATGAAGAAGTCCTGGTGTCCTTCATGAAGAACAACCTGTCTCTTTACCTGGAGGGAGAAAACACTCATCAGCAAAGGCTGACGTACTAGCAACACTTTTAGATTTAATAAAGATTTCTACGTGACAAAATCAAAACTTAGACTTGGCTGGGCTCAGGTCAGTGTGTGGTGTATGTAAAGAAAAAGGCAAGAAAACATTTAGAGGTTTCTCTCCACAGAGCTACAGATGCCACATCTTAAATGAAAGTCGCATTTGCTCTACTCAGTTTATTGCAGAGAATTTATAATTCAATTGGGTTTGTTTCCCAATTAGAAAACTCCTCCTATTACTTTTTAATATCCAACCAGAGTTACACGAATCCCCTAAACACTGTAGCTCCTATATGGCTAAAAGGATGAGTGAGGATGTTGGAGAGCTGAGCTTTAGAATTGGCAAGTTTTCAATCAAGTCTGTTAAACTCTACTGACCGTCAGTGTGCCGTCTGTCTGTACCACGAAACGTCTGTCATCACTGCTGAAACCAAATCTTGTGCGGTCTGTGCAGTCAGTGAAGCCCACTGGAAGTGGACAGAAGAAACAGGCATCCGTTACAAATGCAGTACTGCCACACATTGCCTAACACTGATTAAAAGTGGTACCCTGGAGTCGGCACAGCAGGCTAGATAGAGTGGGACTTCCTACAATACTTTTACTTCATTTTCAATGCAGGACTTTTACTTGTACCAGAGTATTTTTACAGTGTGGTCTTCCTAGTAAAGTAGAACTAGTAAAGAATCTGCATTTGCACCTTCTGCTCTGAAGATTGGCTGCAATCTTCAAGCCCTTCAGGACGCTGAGCCGAGAATAAAAGATTACGGCCGACCCCTCCCACTCACAAACTGTTTCAGACTGGCTGCGGTCCATCAGGACCAAAACCTCACACAGCAACAACACTTTCCTCCTGTCTGCAGCGAGCCTCCTTAATGAAGCTTGGGTCATTGATTCTCCCGGAGTATGGTGTGTTTATTGGTCATATTATGAATTTTTGCACATTTCTTTGTCAAATATCTATTGTATTGTAACAATCTTAGGCTGAGTAGAGACTGTTGTGTAATATTTACTATCTTAATGTTTTAAGCTACAGGATAGAGACACTAAAGTGCATTCTAAGCCACGCTTGTTTAAACCCCTCAATTGTCAACTATTTCTATTTAAGCTTTAAAAATCTCTATACATAATGTCTTGATGTGTTTTAAGGTTTAATACCAGAATCAGATTCTGATTTTAGGTTTAATATGCGTTACGAAACACTATTTTATTTCTAGTTTCTGTTTTTTAAGCAACAAGTGATTGATTTACCATGACTGTGTAACCAGAAAATGTGATTTGTCCTTTTGAAGTTTTAATAGTGTAAATTTATGCATTTTCCATCCATCCATCGTCAACCGCTTATCCTACATACAGCTGGGGTCTGGAGCAAACACATAATTTATTTTGAAATGTTGTATTTGTGAATGTAACATTTTTCATATAGGCTAAGTTAAAGAGGTTTAAAAAAATGGCTTTTCTTTACAATGAATATCAATCTTTTCATAAAAGAATATACACTCACCTAAAGGATTATTAGGAACACCATACTAATACTGTGTTTGACCCCCTTTCGCCTTCAGAACTGCCTTAATTCTACGTGGCATTGATTCAGCATTCTTTAGAAATGTTGGCCCATATTGATGGATAGCATCTTGCAGTTGATGGAGATTTGTGGGATGCACATCCAGGGCACGAAGCTCCCGTTCCACCACATCCCAAAGATGCTCTATTGGGTTGAGATCTGGTGACTGCGGGGGCCATTTTAGTACAGTGAACTCATTGTCATGTTCAAGAAACCAATTTGAAATGATTGGAGCTTTGTGACATGGTGCATTATCCTGCTGGAAGTAGCCATCAGAGGACGGGTACATGGTGGCCATAAAGGGATGGACATGGTCAGAAACAATGCTCAGGTAGGCCGTGGCATTTAAACCATGCCCAATTGGCACTAAGGGGCCTAAAGTGTGCCAAGAAAACATCCCCCACACCATTACACCACCACCAGCAGCCTGCATAGTGGTAACAAGGCATGATGGATCCATGTTCTCATTCTGTTTACACCAAATTCTGACTCTACCATCTGAATGTATCAACAGAAATCGAGACTCATCAGACCAGGCAACATTTTTCCAGTCTTCAACTGTCCAATTTTGGTGAGCTCTTGCAAATTGTAGCCTCTTTTTCCTATTTGTAGTGGAGATGAGTGGTACCCGGTGGGGTCTTCTGCTGTTGTAGCCCATCCGCCTCAAGGTTGTGCGTGTTGTGGCTTCACAAATGCTTTGCTGCATACCTCTGTTGTAACGAGTGGTTATTTCAGTCAAAGTTGCTCTTCTATCAGCTTGAATCAGTCGGCCCATTCTCCTCTGACCTCTAGCATCAACGAGGCATTTTCGCCCACAGGACTGCCGCATACTGGATGTTTTTCCCTTTTCACACCTTTCTTTGTAAACCCTAGAAATGGTTGTGCGTGAAAATCCCAGTAACTGAGCAGATTGTGAAATACTCAGACCGGCCCTTCTGGCACCAACAACCATGCCACGCTCAAAATTGCTTAAATCACCTTTCTTTCCCATTCTGACATTCAGTTTGGAGTTCAGGAGATTGTCTTGACCAGGACCACACCCCTAAATGCATTGAAGCAACTGCCATGTGATTGGTTGATTAGATAATTGCATTAATGAGAAACTGAACAGGTGTTCCTAATAATCCTTTAGGTGAGTGTATTTATTTTTCGTAAATATAAATATATAAAGTCATGTTCTTAAAGAAATATTCAACACGAACACAAACACAAAATGAATGACAAATGCTTTCAGTTTCGTTATTGTAAAAAACACACTTTTCCTCAACATCAATCCTGAATCTTAATACTATTGTTGTTTATTTGATACACATATTATAGCAGTGAGTGCAGCGGTAACGTCAGATCCTATTTATACAGGGGAGAGAGGGTAGTTCATCCGAACGTTGTCTCTGTATTTAAACCCTATGCGGGTTCGGGAGCTCGATTTGGCCTGGAGGGTTGCTTCAACCAGACTTCACTCCATGTCGGAGTGGAAGTGTGTCTACAGGTAGTTTCGGAAAGGCCCATACCACCTGTTACGACGGAGCGCGAACGCGAGCACCAGCTCAGGAGGGAGTTGGAGCTAAAAAAGTTGGAGGCAGAAACCGCCATTAGAATGCGCGAGTTGGAGCTGCGGTCAGCGCAGTTCTCAGCCACCGCTGCCGGTACTGGGTCATCAGGATCTGCCCTCCCTAGTACCTTTGATGTAAGTAAACACATTTCTCTAGTCCCTGTCTTTCGTGAGACTGACATTGAGAGCTATTTCACTGCTTTTGAGCGCATTGCTGTTGCCCTGAGGTGGCCAAAAGACGTGTGGGCCATCCTGCTACAGTGTAAACTGTCAGGGAAAGCTCAGGAGGCTTGCTCATCACTGTCTGTGCAGGATAGTCTCTCCTATGAAAAAGTTAAGAGCGCCATCTTGCGGGTGTATGAGCTGGTGCCAGAGGCGTACAGGCAACGTTTCAGGGCTCTCAGAAAAGGGGTAGGCCAGACTTACATTGATTTCGCTAGAGAACAAGGGATTTTGTTTGATCGGTGGTGTGCTGCATGTAAAGCCGATGATTTCTCCTCAGTTCGCGAGCTGATGTTGTTGGAAGCGTTCAAGAACTGTGTGTCGGAAAAGACTGTTGTTTATCTCAACGAACAGAAAGTAACCACACTGCAGCAGGCTGCTACGCTTGCTGATGAGTTTGCCTTGACACACAAGAACACGTCTATCAGACATTACTCGTCCCCTTGTGATGATGCTGTAAGGAAGCCCAGCACCACTCAGGGTACTCGTGTTGGCTCAGTGGCACAGGTGGACAAGCGTTGTTTTTTTTGTCATAAACCTGATCATCTTATTGCAGAGTGTGCTCTCTATAAACGAAAGCCCCAGCCTCCAGTGGCTAAACCGCCAAAAGGAGTTGGGTTGATTAAGACTGTGTCTCCCTGTGATCGTCAGCTGGCTGTAGGGGAACCTGACGAATGCTTCAGGCCTTTTATTTCCCAGGGTCTGGTATCCCTCACCGGTAAACCTGATGATCAGCGCCCGGTCACAGTGCTGAGGGACACGGGTGGCTCACGCTCATTTATCTTAGCTAGCGTACTGCCATTGAACCCTCAATCTGCCCGTGATGTGAGCGCTGTAGTTCGAGGTATCGGGATGAGCTTTGTACCTGCTCCTTTACATTCTATTCATGTGCAGTCCAAGCTAGTGTCTGGTTTCTTTCCCGTCGCTGTTCGGTCTCATTTTCCTGTTGATGGTGTAGATTTTATCCTAGGAAATGACATTGCTGGTGGAAAGGTTTTTCCAGACCCAGAGGTGGTGGATACTCCTATCCCTGAAGTGGAATCTGATGAGTTGGTTCAAAAGCACCCTGGAGTGTTTTCGGTCAGTGTGTTGACTAGGGCGCAAGCGCGTAAGCAGACCAAAGGGGTGGATCTTTCAGATTCATTGTTCCCCTCTGTGTTTAGGGAGGACCAATTGCCCTCTAGAGGTGGGGCAGAGAACCGTCTAACACAGGTGCCTGTAAGTGCTGCCGCCTCAGTCACTGTTCCTGAGATAACCTTGCCATTAACCCGCGAGGTCCTTATCAATGCTCAACGGAGTGATTCCTCCCTGGCGAAATGTTTTGCTGCAGCTGGGTGTGATGCTAGTGAGCGAGCAAGTCAGCAGCTTTTTCTTGTTGAGGATGAAGTGTTAATGCGCAAGTGGGTTCCTCATGGTGGGACGGCCGACGATCTGACTGGGGTTCGCGACACTGTTTATCAGGTTGTAGTTCCGGTGGGGTGGCGCCGGCATGTGCTAGAGCTAGCACATGAGCACTTGTGGTCGGGTCACCTAGGCGTCGCCAAGACTTACAACCGTGTGCTTAGACATTTTTTCTGGCCAGGCATGAAGGCCGATGTAGCGCGCTACTGCAGAACCTGCAGTACATGCCAGATCGTGGGGAAACCAAACCAGATCGTGCCACCTGCCCCACTGCATCCAGTTCCTGCTGTTGGTGAACCATTTGAGCATGTCATTGTGGATTGTGTTGGTCCCTTGCCTAGAACTAAGTCAGGGAACCAGTTTCTGCTAACTGTGATGTGCGTGTCCACCCGTTTTCCTGAGGCTGTGCCCTTAAGAAAAATTACCGCTCCCGCCATCATGAAAGCTCTCACAAAATTCTTCACCACCTTTGGACTGCCGAAAGTTGTACAAACCAACCAAGGTACCAACTTCCTTTCCAAGACTTTCCGTCAGACGTTGCAATCACTGGGAATTTCACACTCGCGCTTATCACCCGGAATCACAAGGTGCGCTTGAGCGTTGGCACCAGACGCTCAAGTCCGCGTTGAAGAAATTCTGCTATGACACAGGAAGAGACTGGGATGAGGGTGTGCCATACATGCTCTTTGCTGTGCGCGATGCTAGACAGGAGTCTTTGGGGTTCAGTCCGGCTGAGCTCGTTTTTGGTCATAACGTGCGGGGACCACTTAAGGTGTTGAAGGAGCAGTTAGTGTCTGGCTCCTTGCCGAAAATGAATGTATTGGATTTTGTGTCCCAGAACAGAGAGCGGTTGCACCGTGCAACCTCCGTGGCAAAGAAGGCTTTAGCTCTGGCACAAGAAGGCATGAAGCAGCGGTTTGACAGAAAAGCAGTCGAACGGCAATTTAAACCAGGAGAACAAGTGTTGGTTTTACTGCCTGTGCTTGGAGCTGCCCTCACTGCCCGTTTTTCCGGACCCTATGTGGTGGAAAACAAGGTTTCGGGGACTGATTACATCATTCACACACCTGACCGTAAAAGAAAGAGACGCCTGTGTCACATTAATATGTTGAAGCCCTATCATTCCAGAGAAGCGGCTCAGGAGAAGCAGGAAGAAACTCCGGAGACTGCTGCTCCATGCAACCCCTCCGTTTCCTTGGTTTGTGGCGGGGCTGAACCTGATGATGGCTTAGCAGGGCTCGATGAAGGTCACCAGGGTGGTAGGTTGCCCAATTCAAAGCTCTTGTCTAGCCTAGAGGCACATTTGTCCTACCTCCCCCCGAGACAACGTGATGATATAATGGTGTTGATAACCTCTCATCTCCCTCTGTTTAGCGATGTGCCATCCCAGACCACTGTACTGCGTCACGATATCGACGTTGGGACAGCTGCCCCCATAAAGCAGCATGCATATCGTTGTCCGCTGGCTAAGAGAGAAATGATGAAAGAGGAAGTTGATTACATGGTACGAAATGGGTTAGCCCGACCCAGCTGTAGCCCATGGAGTTCGCCATGTTTACTTACTCCTAAGTCCGACGGTACACCACGTTTCTGCACAGACTTTCGTAAGGTAAATGCAGTGACCGTCCCAGACTCGTTCCCGTTGCCCAGGATGGAGGACTGCATAGATAGTATTGGTCCCGCGGAGTACATCACTAAGCTAGACCTGCTAAAGGGGTACTGGCAGGTGCCATTAACCCCTCGTGCATCCGATATCTCTGCGTTTGTTACCCCAGATAACTTCATGCAGTACACCGTTATGGCCTTCGGAATGAGGAATGCGCCTGCAACATTCCAACGAATGATGCATATGGTATTGGGGACTGTCCCAAACTGCAATGTTTACTTAGACGATGTGGTAGTGTACTCAGCCGACTGGGCTGGTCACCTGTCTACTTTGGCTGCGGTGTTCCAGAGGTTAGCAGCAGCGTCACTGACACTAAACTTGGCTAAGTGTGAGTTTGGAAAGGCCACGGTGACATACTTGGGTAAAGAGGTAGGCCACGGCCAGGTCTGTCCTGTTAACGCCAAGATTTCTGCTGTGTTAACCTACCCAGCCCCCGCGACCAGACGTGAACTCCGTCGTTTCCTTGGTATGGCTGGATATTACAGGTGTTTTTGTAGGAACTTCTCAGTAGTTGTCGCCCCCCTGACTAGCTTATGTAGTCCCACAGTCCCGTTTGTGTGGACGGATGAGTGTCAACATGCTTTTGAGGCGGTGAAATCTCTCCTTTGTTGTGCCCCAGTCCTGGCCGCACCTAACCTCTCTCTCCCCTTTAAGCTCGAGGTTGACGCAAGTGCCACCGGCGCTGGAGCTGTGCTGTTGCAGGATGAAACAGGAGATGTGTGCCATCCGATTAGCTACTTCTCTGTCAAGTTTAAAAAACATCAGCTAAACTACTCCACCATAGAGAAGGAAACCCTCGCATTGCTGCTCGCTCTGCAGCATTTTGGAGTCTATGTTGGTTATAGTCCCTCGCCAGTTGTTGTCTTCACAGATCATAACCCTCTAGTTTTCCTGTCCCGGATGTATAACCACAACCAACGCCTGATGCGGTGGGCTCTGTTGGTGCAGGGTTACAACTTAGAGATCCGGCATAAGAAAGGGGCTGACAACGTAATAGCCGACGCGTTGTCCCGCGGATGACATTCCTTCATCTTCTGGGGAAAGATGTTTGAGAGTGGGTGGGAGTGTTTGGTTTTTTTTGCCGTGTGGTAGGAAAGAAAAAAAACAAGTGGTGACTGAGTTGGTCAAACCCCTAGTTTGATTTTATGGGGGGGAGTGTTACGGCCCTTGAGCCCTGTGTCTGTGTACTGCTGCTTGTCTGTGCCCTGCAGGTCCTGCCCTTCCCCCCTCTAATGTTGCAGCCAGGAGGCTAGGGTGCACACCTGTCCCCAGTTACAATCAGCGGGAGCGCAGGAGCCGGTATAAGGAGCAGAAAAGCAGGCAGACTGGGTGTGGAGAGTGGGGAGTGCAGACGGCATGGTGAGCTGGGTGAAACGACAGTGCAGCAAGCGATAAGTCTGAACCTTGTGGTGGGGTTCACTCCCTCAGTGGAGGGAGGGCGAAATTCGTTATTGTATCCTGTGTTGTTTTCTCATTTGTGGCATTTGTGGGCGCTTCCTTGTTTTTGGGAAGTTGTTTTTTGTAGACCCTCCCTGAGGGTACCTTAGCTTTTTTGTCTCCTCATTGTAAATAAAACGCGTACGACCTGTAAAAGCTGTCTCCTGGCTTCCTTCAACCTGGAATGATTCTATTATTGTCACTAACCTCCTCATCCCCTGGACTTTCCACTGGAGGTTCGTAACACCACCTTTGGATGGTGGGAGGAAGCCGGAGCACCCGGAGAGAACACGCAAACACCACACAGAAAGGCCGGGGCAACCCACGGCCTTCATGCTGTGAGGTGACCACTGCACCACCGTGCCACCCAATTTATGCATTTTGATCTTTAAAAAATATATAACTAGACATTCTGAAGTTCTGATGGTGAATTTTAAGACTAAGCCATCCAAAAATATATAAAATAATGTTGTGGTGAAGTTTTGTAGTCAATACAGCTAATTTTACACACAAAAGTTAGTTGATAGTTGAAATTAATGCATGGAAAAATGAGACTATTTGAAACGTTTGTTGATGAAAGGTAACAGAGACTTTGTTAAAACTCCATGTGGCCTGAATGCCCAACTATTGTTTTCGTTTTTAGGTTGTGATTTCAATAGTATCCAACATCAGCAGCAGATCATACTTCTCCAGGAACATACTACTAACACAGCCAAAACCCAGCATCAACCAGCTAATCAAGACCAAGGAACCAACTGGACAGCCGTTTTGGTTGTCCCAGATGAGTTTACACAGTTTATATGTCAGCGGGATTTGCCGTTTTGTACAAACACAGCAAAAGGTCTGCATTTTAAAACAAATACGTAGTTGTGTGGATGTAGCCTTACACAAGCAAAGATGTGACAATCACACAAAAAGTGTGTCGGCAATAATGATCCTTTCAGTTCCAATTCACCATAAAGAAGAAGCAGTCAAATCTTACATTCGTCATTTCTGGTTAGTGCACAAGGGCAGTGTTTGATTTGAGATAATATTACCCTGATGAAATTCACACACTACACAAGTAAGTACATAGTGTACTCAGTGTACTGCATGTAAGTGTAGGATACTAACAGAAGTATCCGCATTGAGACAGACTAGACCACAGCACAGAAGGTAGATAGATATTATGCTGAGACAGTTGAAGAAGAAAAAAAAGACAGTAGACTTTCAAGACGTGATAAACATACAAAACACAAACATTTAATCTATTTTTCAAAGTTATGGTATAATGAAAACATAGAATATATAACCCCTTCCAGTAAACTGTAACCTATACAAATTATTTCCTGATATAAAGATGTTGGAAATGAACAGTGTATTAGCAAACGAGTGAGAGAACAGCTCCCTGGTTGGTTCTGACCTTTGCCCAGTCTTGTGCCCAGCATCAGGTGCTTTCTGGTCACTTTGAAAATGACCATTTCTGACCTGAATCCGGGTAAACATGTCATCTCCTCAGCAGTCACTGAATCTGAGGCCTAGGAGAAGAAAAACAGCATTTTAATGAATTATAATCCAGATGTATTGGAAATGGTGAAATTAATATAAAAAAGTCTGGGTCTTGTCAATATTTATTTTTATCAATCTTTAAATTTGGTTTATAAATTGTCAAAGTGAAATGTGCCCCTCACAAGTACTAAGATAACAAGGGGAGATCTTCAGACGTCTTGTTTTTGACCGGGGTGAAGTTAGTTTAATATTCAACATTTGTCAGTTTTCGTGGCTGTTACCTTCAATATCTCCGTTTAAAAACCTCCGATTCTCCCAGTTTTGGGATGTTGGAGAGCTAATTTAGGTAAACGTCACTTTTTGCAGTTTTGATTAACTCAAAATCACCAAAGAAGACGATGCAGTCAAGATGCAGTCTGTCCAATAAACCTGTCACTACAGACGGCATAAGGGACCGTCTTAAAAGTGCAATACGACCCGTTTCGATCGTCAATATCTTTTTTGTTTTTCAACATAGAAATCTCAAACCGCTGCCAAAATAGACAGTGACGGCCCTTTTCACCCGGCCCGTGAAGACCCATGGACTCGCCGTCAACAGAAGGGAAGGACGACTAAACGGCGACTTTCAGCTGTCTTGTATGTTAGGGTTTTAACACATTTATGGAAACATTATTTTTTTATCACATGTTCAATTCAGTTTTATTTACATAGATGAAGCAGCACTTTTTAAAATATCATTTTGCCATTAACACCCTGCCCATCCACCTATTTCTGTTCACTTAAATACATTGCAGAATCTAATAAAAATGAGATTTTACTGAAATAAGAAGCTGGTTGCTGCATAACAGAAATAGCTAAAATGTCATTAACAAAGCTTTCCAAAAACATCCAAATAGCGTTGTATATTATGTAAATGAGTTATTACATTAACCACCAGTTGTTTTAAGTTGCACACTGAGGGACTGGAATTGTTAAAAAGACAGCAGGAAACCTCACCTTAAAAATGACAATCACAACTGCCAACAACACGAAGCCAACGGTCCCCATTTGTCTGCAAATCCTCTTTCAATATTCCTCGCAATGAAAGTCAAAGAAAAACAGTGAAATTAATTATTTTTATTATTATTAAGTATATTCGCGGCTTGAAAAGATACCAGTAGTTTTTGTTACTTCCTATTTATGAATTGCTAACAGATATACCGCAGACAATAACTGCATTCCTCTTAACAAGCCATGATCTGTATCTGTAGTCTGTCTATATCACTTCTTCTTTATTGACGATCTCTAACCAACTTCCCCTCTCTCTTCCTCTCTTTCTCTCTTTCTCTCTTTCTCTTTCTCTCTGGTTAGAGTTAAGATTCCAACCATGTTGTTCACCAAGAATGGCTGCCACTGGTGTAAAATGAGCCTCGAAACCACCCAGCGGATCTCTAAAAACCAGTGGAAGGAAGAACTAAATGAGATCCTCGCCTAATACAAAATGGTGAGACATGACAGGTTTCAGAAAGTCCTGTAACAGAGATTACTATTACACAGTACCCATCTCTCTGCAGGACAGGGACGGACTGTGAGTAAAAAATGGCCCTGGACTTTGATCCAGACCGGCCCACCAGAACGGTCCACCGTGTACTCCACCACGGCCGCCCTGCCAATGAACGCACGTACAAACAGGCCCAACCTCAAATAAAACCACCTAGCAGCATCACAGCCACTGATCACTATGGCAGTGGGCTACTACCTTAAAAAGGCTGCAGAACACACACACACACACACACACACACACACACACACACACACACACACACAATCATGACCGTAACCGGTAATTATATGTAGACTAAAAAAAACAACTAACAAAAACCTTTGGTAAAAAGCTGAACTTAAAGGAAGGCTTTAGGACAATGTGGACGCAGCTGATTACACCATCCAACCCTCATTTCAAGTTGAAATACTGTTTCCCCATCGATGGTCAGTGTCCAGACCTGGGGAAACACAAGAAACACATGACAATGTCATACATGCATTAACTCCGGGAGATCACTGCTGTTTGCAGGCAGAGTTTTGGGCGATAAATACATTTTGGGTGAAACAGCTTCCCCATCAAGAGAGACGCTGTGCGCATTTACGTACGAGCCACAGCAGCGTAACCTCGTATTTAAATCTCTCGACAAGCCGACAGGATCATCAGGATCTAATGTTAAATAATATGTTGTGTTCTTCTACACATCCAAACGGTCTCACACACAGTCCAGGATCACACAGAGACACTGTCTGGAGTGAAGCAGCCGTCCTCCTGATCAATTCTGAGCTTCATCAGAGCATCTAAACATTTCAGACCCTAAAAGTTGAATTCTGTTTCCTCTGTCTGACCTTTCAAGCTTTTCACTACGGTAATTTTGTTTGGTTTTGCTGCATAAATGTCCCACGATATTAACTGTGACATTACTGCGCGCATGGAAACGTTTAAATGACCGACAGCAGCAAGGACGTCACTTTGTGTTGAAAAGTGTTGGGTCTCCAACATTGACAGCGTTGTGAGATTTGTGCAGTGGTTCATGAGAGAGAGAGAGAGAGAGAGAGAGGAGGTGCTGTGCCCAACTCTGCAGAAAAACAGTTTTTAATAGGCTTAGTAAAAAAAAAATCAAAAATCAATATGTGGCGTTCAGCGCTGATATTGAGGTTCAGCTGTCTGCGGCTTTGCTGTCCTCTGTGGCATCTTTCTCTTCCTGGTCTTAGTGTCTGTGGCCCTGGTAGCTACTAGTACTACCACAGAAGGAGTCGGTTAGGCCTACTTTTTTACATTTCAGTTAAACTCTGCTTTTCCATGTTCTGTTGCAGCTTGTTTTCTTGCTGTCTGTCATTGTGGTGCATAAGTGAGATGGATGTGGCGGGGCGAAGGGCTGCGTTGACGTTCATATGGAATAGCCTGGGGAGAAGGCGGGGTTGGTCCCTGTCGCTCAACCTTCTGCCAACTTTTTCATTATTAGTAAACAGGTTTAGGCTAAGGAAGGCGGCCCACCGGCCCTGAGGTTGGCTGGCCTACCGGGATTTGTCCCAGGTTCTCCAGATGGCCAGACCGTTACTGCTGCAGGACACTTCCAAGTAGGATGGCGGTCAAATGCAAGAAATACAGAAGTGGTATGATACTAATTTTATGATGTCTCTATTCAACTTCCTTTCTTGACCTTCTTAATGTGCTCATTGAAGTCATTGTATGGTGAAAAACATTAATCATTAATCCCTAAGAAAATAATACTTCCTTCATCCATCCATGCTTTTCTGCTGTCTGGACATCAGCTGACTGAAAGACTAGTAGTGTGTCTCAGTTTTAATATTTTGAATGCATTAGTGAGTTCACACTTGCGGTACAAAATGCGGTGCACTATGAGTTCCCAGGTGGGGCCCTCATAACGGTCAAACAGTTGACACAGCTTCTCACCCTCAATGCTCCCCATATTGGCTACGCAGCAGAAGGGTAGGGACCACTAACACATTTTCAAACTTCTGAAAATGGCGGTTGAGGAAGCTGCAACTGTTGCGATCGTAATAGTAGAAGTAACTTTTTATTCATTTTTTAATAAAATTGAATTAGAATGAGCAAAGACTCAGCAGATATTTTGGCAGGCGACAATTACAGTCAAATGATGGAGAATGACCCGCTTGGTTACAATTCGAGATTAAAAAGAAGAAGCGGTCAAATGTTGCAATAGTCATTTCTGGTACAGATGTTAAATGGTGAAAACAGTTTACACACACAGGCCTAAACTTAATGTCGCTGACACCAAATGACGTTTTGTTTGCTCTAACCCTGCAACAAAAGCTAATATTCCTATCAAACAGCACAACTTGTGGTCAAATGGATATATTCTTTTAATCAGTTTTTACACAGTGGACAGCAACATACAGCGATCTATATAAACCAGCCCAACCTTCATTTGTGCTATATGCCTGTGCCATTTGTTGATACGTTACATGTGCCAAAAAAGGACAGCATGAACTGTATTTATTTCTCCTAAGATGATTTTACTAGATGCACCAAGGTTATTATCGTTAACAAAGACGAACAAAATAATGAAAACTAGATGTGAAAAAACATTGTCATTAACTTAAATAAAAATAAAAACAAGGCTTTACACAAAACATAACTAACTAAAACTGTGTTGTAGGTTTGCAAAACTAACTAAAACTAGCTAAAATGAAAGAGTAAATGTCCTTAGTTTTCATTTATTTCTTTATTTTATAGACCCTAAATGAGCCTACATTTCGAGTGGATATGAAGCCGGTGGAACTGATGTTGCGATGCAGTTGGTCTGGCCTGACCGGCAGTTCAGCGCCGTGCGCACATTGCAAAAACTAAAATCTTAGTAAGATTAATTATCTTAATTGAAGGCAAAATATACTTGTTTTTTGTCTGACAAGATATTTCTTCTTGCCAAGCGGCTTTTCTTTTCTGAGAATTTCACTTGTTTCAAGTATTTTTTGGCCTTAAGTAGCAAGTGAAATGTTCTTGTTCTGTTGGCAGATAATTTTGCTTATTTTAAGTAATATTTCCCCCATTTTAATGCTTTTTTCCCTTGTTTTTGAGAGCTCAGTTTTTGCAGTGTGGTGATTAGCCGATAGGCACCTGTTGGTGAGCCGCGGGTCTGTTATGCTTTTGTCCTCCGCATGAAGAGCTGGCACTCTGCGTGTGTTGTCCATAAGATTGCTTTATCCATCAAGAGAGCCCGGGGTCAGGGCAGCGTCTGGTCACAGCGCAGCAGGTGGCGACCGCTGTTACCAGGAGAGCCCCAAATAACGTTAGGGGGAGGCTAAAGTGCAATTTATACTCCTGCTTCAAACTGACGGCGTAGCCTCTGTGTAGCCCCCCTACCCTACGCCGTCACCTACGGCGTAGCCTGACATGCACCTCCTCAAAAATGTAACTACACGTCGAGTCGTCGCGGTGTAATTGCAGAATGACTAACACACCTATGCACAAGTATAAATGCCTGGCTACGGCGTAGCTACGCACGTAGACCCTACACAGGAGTATAAATGGGCCTTAACTTAGTCGGGGAGACCCAGGTAGGGATCGGCTGCATAGTTGGTGCGATTTGAACATGTTTTCTATTATTTTTCACACATACATGTGTACTAAATAATATGAATGCAAACACTTTACAGCATTGTGTTTAGTTTGTGTTGCAGGTAGTCACTGTCTTGGTGGTTTTCTTTTCCTTGTTTTTGAGATTCTCTGTTGAAATATAAAAGAGGAAGAGAGACATTTGCTAAGAAAGTTGTGTTCATTTATTTTTTTCTTGTGTGCAGGTCTTTGTGTGTTCATGCAATGTCACTGACATGTAAGACCTGCAGTAAGAACCTAGACTAGATACATTTGGACATTTGTTATGGTACATCTTTCTTACTTTGGCTTAATTTGATCCATGCTTGCAAATAGCAACACAGAGGCATTCTTTACAGATGGATGAGGACTGTTTGCTGATTGAAGAGTTGTGCAAGGGAATTTCACACAGGTGCATTAGAGATTCATATGCAAGTAACTTCTATCAGCTGTGAATAGAAGTTTTCCTATTGTTCAATACAGTTAATGCAGTAGAGTTTGGGGTCTTTCTATAAGATCTGCGTATTTGAAAAAGGGTGCGAATAATATGTGAAAAAAATCAGTTAACACATTTGCAAGATATGAGCTAAAAGGTGATGATGAAGATCAAGTGGAACCAAGGGGAAACCTTAGGGTCTGAAAACTGAGGCGAGTGGGGAAGTCCTTTAAACCTGCATTCTATCAAATGACCAGTAGGGGGCGACATCTCTGGTTTCAAGAAGTCTGGCTCCATTAGAAATAATGTTAAAATGTTTCTACTTCTCAGCTGATTTATTACCTCAGTAAACACTTTCATAATGAGTTTCTGGTCTCAGTCGCTAGTTTAATGTCTTCTTCAATACAGCATGGTGTTCATTTAGTAAATTATGGTCCAATTTAGAGAAAAATAGACCATAAAGCAGAGCATACTTCAGGGCATTACTATCGTGATTGACAAGTCGTAACCATGGCGACCTGTCAATCAGGCCAGAGTGACTGGTACCCACGCTGCTGTGTAAATTTAACCAGCGTTAGGAGTCGGCTGTTTACTTTCTCTGGTGAGTACATTGAGTTTTAAACTGTGAATTACAGATGCACCTAGCTAAGTTAGCTCCACCGTCTCGTCC